AAACTGGCCAGTGTGCGTTGTGATTGTTTGAGACCAGTCCAACCCAGCGGAAGGGACTGGCTTGGCTTTTAGGGGCTGCAGCAAACGGGAGAAGATGTTTCGAGGGGCTGCCGAGGAAAGCCCAGCAGGGAAGCCAACTGGCTTGTGGATGCAAAATAATAGGATGGGTGGACTGAAAGGCTCTCCATTGCAAAAGACACAAAAATGTCTCTCAATTTTTAAAAAAGCAATTATTTACAATTTTGACCAGATTTTTTTTAAAGTTCAGAACTGGATAACTAAAAGGTTTATTGCTAAAATGCTTTTTCTATGAAAACAAAAAGCATGCGAGGTGATCTTAATTTAAAATGTGTTACAGCTGGAAGGTCCTCTCCTTGTCAGAGCGGGATTATCAATTCTAATTCTGTGATCTGAGACTGGGTTCTGTTTGTGCTCAACGGTGGTGCACAGCATGTCCCGCTTTGCCCAGGAATCCTCTTTCCTTTGCTCCTTGTGCAAGGGGGGGGGAGGGAATCCTCTGACCCTCTGCACAAGCGGGACGCCCCGGTCAGACAGTCGGTCGGTCAGAGTCCACCCACTGTGTGTGACTGAGAGCTGGAAGTCCCTGGAGCAGAGATGGGGGGTTGGGGAGGGGGGGCAGAAGCACCTCCCTGCCTGCAAAAGACGATTTGTGAAGACGATGCAGCCCATAGTTTTGATAAAAACATTTGAAAAAGTGTGTCGTAGGTAAGGGCGTAACCGTTCTGGGATCGTGGCTTCAGTTTTGTACAGCTCCGTGTTCTGCTTCTGCGTAGAATGTACGCTATAGATTATTGAGGTTAATCTTTCCTCTCTCCTCTAATCCTTCATCTCTAGTAGATACTAACATTTATAATTCTCTAATGAGGTTTGTGGCAGCAGCAGAGATAACAAAGCTAACCACAACAGAGGGAGAGGAGAGCCAAGGGATGGCCGAGGTCTCTTGGGGGGGGGGCTTTTTCTTCTTTTTGTTTTTTCCCTCCTTCCCTTTTCTCTCTCGGTGGTTTCGCGTTGGGCTTCCCCTCTTCAGATCTCCAGCAAGGGCTTCCCAGGTGCCTCGCAGTGATGCCGATCCCTCCAGAAAGCGGATCACCTCCCCCCTTCTGGGGTGGCCAAAGCCAAGCCTTGCCCTCCGCCTCTGTGGGTCCTCGCGCTTTCAGACTTGCCAGTGAACGGAGGAGCAGAGGGGGAGGTGTCGTAATCAGGGGGGGGGGAAGGAGGAAGGGAGGAAGAGACAGAGAAATAGGTATTGTCCAAAAGGAGTGTTAAGATTATTGCAAGCGTGTATAAGAGTCCCTTTTTGGGATGCAAATTCAAATGTTCAAATTGACTCTTTTTCTGAATCCTAACCTAATGTGTTACAAAAGGGTTTCCCCCTGAGAACCCTCCTCTCACCTTCACTGGTGCCTCCGGGGATGGTTCTGGGCTGGGTGGTCTTCTCTCTCTCTCTCTCTCTCTCTCCCTATGCAAATGCACGCGTCCTTCCTCCCCCCGCCCAATGCTCCTGCCCAACAGCCCCGTCTGCCATGAGTTCTCCCTTTTGGCAACCTGGCCTTTTGTCGGGGGCTGATTCCCACCGTAGGTCAGTGGGCGAAGGACCTTCCTCTGGTGGGTCTGGGGGCTCCTGAGTGCCCCCCCACCCCCTGGTTTTCAGTGGCGTGGGCAAATAAGACCCTGGCCAAGGGAGTGATGCTTTGCCGAGGAGAGTTGGCAAGTGGAAGGGCAGAAAACTTTGGGGTGACACCTCCTCCTCCAGGAGACCCCCTTCCGCTGCTCCTTTGGCCCTCCACGGTCTGGGGGGGGGCTTTGCCCTGGGTGGAGAGGACCGGAGGTGGATGGAGGCGGTGGGCCTTGTGAAGGCGGTCACCGGGGTCTGCTTGGCAGGTACCGCCCGGCTCTGCGATGCGGATGGATGTTTCCAGGGCTCGTCCCTCTGGGAAGCCCCTCCGCTTCTTCCGAGATCCGTGTGTGTGTGTGTGTGGGGGGGGGAGTGACTGAGAACGGGCTGGTGCGTTCTCTGAATCGGGTCCCCCTGGGCTGCATCCACTTGGCATGTGTGTGTGGCCTTTGCTATTGAATTGCCTGTGGGGGGGGGGGGAGTTGAGGTGAGATGAAGTGGGGGGAGCAGGGAGCTTGAGGGCTCCTGGGGGTCTGGCAGGCATCTTTCCCCTTGGAGGTCCTTGAGATGCATCTCAGGAGATGCAGTCAGGATAGCCCCGCCTCGGGGGGCCTGGGGGGGCTGTGGCGAAGGGGCCGTGGCTGCCTTGTGGTGCTCCCCCCCCGCCGCGTGTGGCTCTGAGGCGCCTCACCTGAGTCCTCCTCAGGCGCCCGGTGGCATGGATTTGCAAAGCCCGGGGCAGGCTCGGTCTTGCCCTTGGGGGGCCACGAAGGCCACATGGAGGGGAGCCGCCTTCTCCCAGAGGTTTTGGCCCATGGGGTCTCCTCCCCTGCATCCTGTTTAATATTTGCACCCTGCCTTTCTCCCCGAAAGGCCTGTTGTCACTTTAGGGCACCAAAGAGGAGCTGTGGGAGGGCGAGGGGGGGGGAACACAACTATTTCTCTCTCCTGCCTTTGAACTTCGGGCCACTGGTTTGGGTTCAAGGCAAAGCTCAGTTTGCAGGATGCGCTCTGTGCTTTGAAGAAAAGAAAGGAGGGGTATCTGGAGAAAGGGGGTGGGGGGTTTGGGGTTTGGAAGACAGCCTCCCTATGCTGCCCCACTTCAAATATTTTGAAGCTGGAATTTAAACGCTGGGGGCCATTTTCCGGAGCGAGAGTCTTCGGGGAACCGGGAGACGACCCACTGGCCACAGGTGAGGGCAAGACCTCTGGGAAAAGTCTCTGGAGTGAAGAAGGGGGTTGCCCTCTTGGCTGTTTGGGGATAACGGGTGCTAACTGGGGGCCAGTTCTGGCCAACGGCACCTAAAGTGGGGGTGGAGGAAATGTTGGGGGTTTGGAGACTCGGACTCTGTCTGGCCCGCTCAAGCACAGGCCCTTGGAGGTGGTCTGGTGGGGCAAGGAAGTGGGTCTCGGGTGGAAGAAGCGAGACCCGCCGTGGCAGCCGCATGGGCCGTGATGCCCCTGACGCATCTCTGCGTGCCACGTGCAGGAGAGGGAGAGCGCATCAGCGCACCTCCCAGAATGGCTTCTGCTTCTCCATGGCTGGGGGTGGGGTGGAGCGCCTGGGGGGGGCGATGGCTGGACCAGAGAGTCCTCCTGCCTGGGCTTGATCCAGCCGCGTGGCTCCTCTCGCACTCTTCGGTGGTTCTCCCAGCCTCAGGCACCGTGCTAGATTTTAGGAAGCTTGCGCTCAGCAAGCATACTGTAGTTAGCTCAACTGCCGTAAGAAAGCAGTTCCTATCCAGCCACCCTCCCGTGCATGCGGGGAGGCCCCATAGAACTCCCTCTGTTTGCCAGGGTTTTGCTGGCATATCCCTCAGAACAGGGTTTTGTGGCCAAAGGTCTGCCTGGTGGCTGTTGCCGTGGCTCTCCCTTTGCCGTGGCAGTCTCCACCCCCCCCCCCGGGGAACCTGGGGCTTGCCTGGCACATGAGAGCGATTGCGGGCAAATCCTTACAGTGATGGCGGAGCGCCTGGAGGTGTTTGTGCAAGAAGATAATGTCCAGTGTTTCATGCAAGGGGATGTTTAGGATTTTATTATTTGTGAAGCTACTAAAATCACCAGGTGGAGTAGATGTTTCCTAACGGTGAGGGCCCCCTCTCTGCCTGCAAGCACCCGGCTGAACCCCTGCGGCGTGAGAAGGCCCACTGCTAGGGGATGCAGGACGCGCGGCCTGCATTGGGATGAGGCGTGGAAGGCAAGCGCGTCAAGGCCCTTCCCAACCATGTGGTTCTGTGAAAGCCGCCAGGAGGGAACTCCCAGGTTCTTCCTTGTGGGCCTTCGGATTCAGGGCAGGTCCAAGCGCCGTCGGTCCGTATTCTACGGGCTGGGGCACCTCAGGATGAGCTCCGCTAAGACCATCCAGACAGGTGTCCAGCACAGGGGCCAGTGTTTAGGTGACCCCTCTTCCTTAACAAACATTTGCTTTTGAGGGCAGGGAGAAGTGGGTGTGACGAGGGAATAGTCCTCTCATGCCCCCCCTCAGCTTGGTGTGGATGTATGGGGTGCGGGACGGGGCCTCTGTAGCACCTGTGGCTGGAGGGATTTCTGCGAAGCAGTTCTCACAGGCTTGCTCTCCCTCTTTCCCTCAGGAGGAGTCTTCGTGAGCCAGAGGCTGAGGAGCTCCGGGTCACGCTGATCATGGAGAAGGAGGAGAAAGTCATCAACAAAGGGGAAGAAGATGAGATGGTAAGGGGCTGCTTCGTGGCATGGCTGCTCCTAAATCTCTAGAAGACCCTCTGGAGCCCATAGCCACCAGAAAGGGTTAAGCCGCGCCAAGAGGAAGAGCAGCACAGCGTCCGCGGGGGCTGCCTCCCCTCTGATCTCGTGCAGGTCCCAGGCCGAGAGCAGGGAGCCAAGCATTTCTCTTCCTCGGTGGGACAGCGGCGTCCGCCACGTGGCCGCCCCGGGCTGCAGGCAGGTGTGGCACAGACAGGGTGCTGCAGAGAGCGAAGGGGTGCTGGCTGTCGGTCCAAAGCATCCCGGCCTGCCCCAGACACTTCCCGGGGCTGACCAGGGATGTCGTTTCCAAAAGAGGAGATGCTCTGTCGGTTCTGTGTCGGCAGGTCCAGCTATTAAACTCCCAGGCAGGCACACCAACGTTTAGATTGTGGCACCTTCAGCACCAAGAGATTCGGGCCAGTGAGAGGTCACCAAATAAATCTGTACATTTTTCGGGCACCACGGTGCTGTTTTGTTTCTGTGCCCCGCGGCCAGAAAAGGGGTGGTAGGTGGGTAACAGGCAGAAGAGGAAAACCCGAGTCCTCAGCAGGGCGGAAAGGCAGGTTCGAGGCGGTCCCTGTTTTCAGACTGCTGCCCCCCCCCCCGTTCTTGGGCCTTCCCTTGGACACCTGCCTCGTTGACCATCCTGGCCATGATAGCCCAGGTCAGGGCACTGAGCAGGGGTGATGGCTCAGGTGGAGCAAGCCGCTGGAGCGGGAGGGGGGTGGGTGTTCCTTCCCCCTCCCCGGTGCTCCTGGTCCCCGTAGCGCTGGGGCTGAGCCTGAGCCTGACTCTTGTTCCAAGAGCAGGGCCGAACCTCCTCCTCCCCCTCCTCAGGTGTGAGGGACCCACTTTGGCCCTCCTGGCCCAGGCTTGTCTGCTGGCCAGAGATGCCTGCTGTGGCCGGAAGCCTTCTTGGGCTCATTCTGGTTTTCACCTTCCGGGCTGTTCTGTTCTGCCAGGAGCACTCTCTTCCCTGGAGACTCCTTCACGGTGCCTTCCCTGTTTCTCCTTGGTCTCCCGCATGCTTTGAGTAATAGTCCTCTTTTTTGGGCTGCTGTCCCCTGACACAGAGCCCGTCAGGGAGGCCTGTCTTTGGGGAGACCTCTGGAGCCGGCGCTCTGCCCAGGGCCTCAGGTGGAGCAAGCCGCTGGAGCGGGAGGGGGGTGGGTGTTCCTTCCCCCTCCCCGGTGCTCCTGGTCCCCGAAGCGCCATTGCAGGAGAGGCGGACAGGAGGTCTTGTGTAGCCTGAATTAACACTCACAGGGAAGGAGAGCAGAAGCTCTTCACTCGCCGGGAGGGAACCTTCCGGAATGGGCCCTGGCAGCCCTGCTGGGATCCTGGATGCTGCTCCGTTCCTTTGAAAACAGCAAACAGGCTGGAAGAGGCCCTTGGCTTTTTCTAGCCTTCAGTTTTTAAGATGTTTTTTTTAATTCATTTTTTAAAAGCAGGCCACACCTGCCCGTCACCTCCCTCTCCCCGGCAAGCTCGGTACTCAGTTTACTGACCTCAGAAGGCTGGAGGTCTGAGTCAGCTTTGACTCCCTGAATTCAGGTCGTGAGTCGAATCCTGGCTCCAGGGCTGCAGTCCAGCCGCAGCCCCCCACGAGGCTCCCGCAGCATCATCCATTCTGCCCGTTTCCTCCTGCCGTTCCTCAAGGGGTGTGCTGTGTGCCCTTGGTAGAGAGCTGAATGCGGAGCCTGGTGTCTTCTCTCCGCTGCCTGGTCATGGATCCCCAGCCTCCAGTCGGTGGGGAGGCCGCTGCTCTTGCTGTGGCCGGGGAGGGGGGGCTGTCCTCCAGAGCGAGCTTCCTTGGGGGCGGGGGCGGCCCTGTTGGGAGGGGCTGCCCTGCTGAATTGAGCGGTTTGCAGAAACTCCCTCGCTGTGGGGGGAGGGGGGCCCACACCCCTGGGAAGACTGAGAGGGTGGCTTCATCCATCAGGGGCGGGCAGGGGTGGGGGGTCCCAAACAGGTGCGCCAAAGTTCTCAGGTGGCCCCTGTCTCCCCCCCCCCCTTGGTTTGTGTCCCTGCAGAAGATCTGCGGCTACAACCTCTGCCGGTGGAAGCTGGCCCTGGTGGCGCTGGGCGCACTCTGCACCGGCGGTTTCCTCCTCCTCCTCCTCTACTGGATGCCCGAGTGGAGGGTGAAAGCGACGTGCCAGAGGGCTCCGCTGAGGGGCTGTGGCGTGGTGCTGCTGCGGACCACGGTCAGTGGCTGGCGCTCCCCGGGGAGGCTCCCTTGGGCCAGAGGGGGACGGGCAGGCCTTCCGCCTTCACAGACGGCCTTCCAGCGGTCCCCCTCCAGGCGTTTGCCAGCTGGTGTGGTTATACGGGGTGAAAGGAGGAAGGGGAACGTTAGGAGAGGAAGGAGGCTGCAGTTCTGCAAAGGGCATGGAAGCTCATGGCCTGTCTCCTTTCTCTCTGTTTCAAGGATGAATTCCAGCTGTGGTTTTGTGCAAAGGTGCGCGTTGTGCTCTCTCTGGGACGCCACCCTTTGCAAGCTCCAGAATGCATGTCCGAGAAGATGACCAATGGCTGCAGTGGCCCCTTGAGCCCCCCAACGACCTTCAAGGAGAATGACCGAGACCTGAGCAGCAGAGGCTCCCTGGCCCACTTGCAGGAGGTACCCGCTGAGGCTCCTGCCCTCTTCCAGACAGTCCTCCAAAGGCGCGCTCTCTGGAGATACCTCAAGGCCTGCTGTCCACCGCCGGCAGAGTCTCGGAGGAAACTGTGGGGGCTTGTGGGGCACAAGGAGAGGGAGTGGGGGGGGGCTGCACCTAACCACCGTCCGTGGTGATTGGGCTCTCCTGGCCGGGGCTACTGGTCCCCAAACGTGGTTTGCCTCTGGGAGATTATCGCTGCCGACACGTGGCAGACTCTGGCTGTCCGTGGGTGTTCCCTGCCCGGTAATTGTGGATGCCGGGCTGTGGAGGGGGCAGAGGTGGCTGCTCCCAGAACACCTGCAGGGAGCTTCGCTGCTCTTGTTTTGCCGCTAGTGTTGATGAAATCAGCTACCGTACTTAAGGAGTAGCCTGGCCGCCTGCAGTCAGGAAGAGCATCCATCATTTCCAGTTTGGTCTTCAGAACCTTCTGCAACTAAGACTGGCTTTAAGAGAGTGATCTGCCAAGCCGCTCATTTTCAGGGCCTTAATTACTGTTTGTTTGTGCACCTTCCAGATTCGCTATTTCACCCACCACAGTGTGAAGTATTTCTGGAATGATGGGACCCAGAGCTTCGGCTCCATGAAGTAAGTACTGGAGGCTGGGGTTTTGGGTTTTTTTTATATCCTTGGAGAAGCAGTGGGAGGTGGCTTGGACTCACTTGGGAGAGAGTGTGTGTGGGGTTGCACTAAATAACCCCTGTCTCTTGTAGGGGTCTGGATGATGAGGCCACCCCTTGCTCTTCAATTCACGGTGAACACAGCATAGGACTGACCAAAGGAATCCGGGACTACAGGTGAGCAAGAACAGCGATGCACACTGCTTCTTGGCAGCCGGTCCAAATCATCATCATGTGTGGCCATTTGGAAATAGGGGGCAGAGGCCGTGGGCTTGCATTCTGTGTCCACACTGTTTGAGTCAGAATCCTGGTGGGCTGGTTGAGCGTTCGAGGCCCCAGACTTTGGCCGGGGTCTTGGGACTGACGCCGTCCAGTTCGATTCGTGGCAGTTTAGGCTCTTTATGCAACCCGGTTGGTTGTCTGTGGCTGTGCCCTCCGGTACTCTCAGAGTGCCGCCACCGGGCCCACTGAATATGGGCAGCCACTGCCATGGCATCAGGAGCCTTGGAGGCTGGTGGAATTTCTGTGGCCGCCGGAGCTGTGGCTCCTGGAGGGGGTGGCCAGTGCAGCCCCTCCCCAGAAATAGGCCATGGCAGAACACAGCCCTTAACCCTCTCCCCCCCCCCCCCGTCCCCCTTCT